TATATATATATACACACACACACACACACACACTAATTGTAGATTAAAAATAAATATTTTGATCACAAAATAATTAAAAAAATTAATCTTCCCCTAGTTATATTACTAAAATGGTGAAAGGACAAAAAAAAGTATTTACGCTCAAGAAAATATTTATTATCATCATTGTTAAATTAATATTACATACTTGTTGGCTTCAAGAAATCACAACCATGGAGCAAACTTCTATCATGATCAAGCTTGATGACGTTCAAAGAGGACTGGTAAATTCTCTATCATTTTTTTTTTCTTTTTTTAATTTCTGGACTTGCATTTTATTTCTCTATTCAATTTTAAGATTTTGCCTTTTGTTTTTATCTTGGACTTTTTTGTTGAAGGGATAGTTAAATTTTATAAATTCATTTCTGGGTTGATTTGTTTCCTAACAACGAGTATTAGTTTTAAGATTTGGCACTTTCTAGTGCACATTATTTATGAAGGGAAGTGAAAACAAGAAATGTAATTATTTTTGCTGGCGAACTACAAAAGAATTGCAAGTTATTTCCAGTTTCGATTACCTTTGACTACTGTTCAAGAAACACTTGGGTCCGTTTGATTGCAAAGATGAGATTTGAGTGGAAAGAAAACGAATTTCAGGAAATTGAATTACCTAAAAATTGTTTTTCCTGAGAATTTTAAATTATTGTGTTTGATTGGTATAATTTTTCACGTGGAAGATGTTGAAATAAAAGTTTTTTTCATGTTTGTTTGGCTTTATTTTACATGAAAATTGTCAATTAAAGGGATTGAATTTACTGGTATTGGGGATAAAATTTATTTTAATTGCCCAAAAAAAAAATTTATCTATCTTTTGGTGTTCGTTCGGCTTTGTTTTACATAAAAATTGTCAATTAAAGATAAATGTATTTTTTTTACAATAATTCTTAGAATTTATTTTCATTGCCAAAAAAAAAAAAATGTCAACAGTAACCAGGAAAATCCACAAAAGCAAGAAAAATGCAATTCCTAAGAAATCCAAAAATTCCTATTCCATGGAAA